ATAGACTCATTGATGTCACCAACAAGGTGTTCAGATGAAAGATAACATAAATGCTTAATATTTATGGCGGGTTGCTTTTAGTCGTTCCAGGCCCAATGCTGGTCCCCAAAGCCATTATTTTCAAAGACGACAGTGTGATGTGTCTTTACTTCTTTCCCTCAGCCTCTGATGTACTTATTTTTAGTGCTCTTGATCCACTGATTTACAAGCATGCCATGTGGGTGGCAGTGTGTGCATGTGTGTTATTACTCACTGCAAAACCCTGGCTAAATCTCATTTACTGTGCCCCAATGTAATAACAAGGGGAAACGGCACCCAGTCTCTCTAAATGGCACACTGACTCAGGCCATATATCCATTTTTTAATCTACCCTCTCCAGGCATAACATTAATGATCGAGCTTAAAATGTGTCCTTTTTCTGAGGAGAAGATTACTTTAAACATAGGGAGTTAGTGGGCAGACAAGTGTCTCAGAGAAGAAGGAGAGAGAGGGGAAAAGAGAGAGAAGCCATAACCACTTTCCCATTAAGCTATTGATTTTCTCCATCTCAAGGACACGCTTCAATCCCAGGCCCATGTGTGGACTGTCTGTCAGGAATCTATTGCTCAGCTTTACACCCAAGAGTTGTGTGCCTTGGTTGCCTGTATTTGGCCTGGCTGTAAATCTGACCTCACTCCTTATGAGGAAGAGGGATGGGCAAATTGAGACGAGGTCAAAGGGCAGGTGGTTGTGACGAGTGTCCCGTGTTGATGTGGCAGTTGTCAGAAAGTCAGGCAAGTGGTTGTAATTGGTTGAGTGGCCGCGGACATAATCACAGCGGCGATCAAATAAAAACACAAACATTCAACTCCAGTAAACACAGCCAGACACATAAAAACACGCTTACACACAAAGTCAAAGGATACATGTTTAACACATACACTAATGGGAATAGGAAAAAGGGCACCACATCAATGAATTCCACTAAAATCCCTGTTGAAATCGCTTAGTGAAATCCTCGGTGACAGCTATTGATTTTCTGGTAGCCTAGTTAATTGGACTCACTACCCTCTAAAAAGTGTGTGGTCCTATATCCTTTTTCTTTGTTCAGCAACACTTAATCATCTTTCCCCCAGCTATAGATTTCTCTTCGACTGTGTTTGAATCCATAGACATCAGGCCTGTGAGAACTGAGGGGAGAGGTAGGCAAAAGTTCACAAGGATCAATAAGTGCTTTATGGTCCAGATCAGATGTGCATGGTAGCCCCTTAAAAAACACAACTACCACCACTAAACGGGAAACAGGAAGGGGAAACACAACAGCTCTTCATCAATGAGAAATATGGAGCCAATGAAAAGCTGGGCTCACACAGTTGCCTGTTCCCCGCCTTAACATCTCAATTAGCACCCACAATCGAAAGGACACAAGGCCTTGTTAAAGTTTAAGACAGGAGTCCTCCCTAAGGCCATCCAGACACTGACACTTGCCCATTTGCTGCATGCTGTTAATCCTCTTAGCTCTTACCTTGAGATGAAGTCAGACATCACACCAGCTTCTTTTTGATTGTTTTGTCAATTTAAGGTCCTGCCTAATTAGGTTACACTCCTACTGCAGTTTAATTTTAGCAAACAACTGGCTTGCAGCACAATCAACAACGCATTACTGTAATCTTGGCGTAGCAGACATTCCTACATTTTGGTAAATCTAAAAGTTGCCAAAAAGACACTGTAAGCCACCTAGGAGAACAAAGTAGTAGCATCAGTTTAGACCTGCAACTGTGTGTGTGATGTTGCAATGTACAGGCAAATACATCTGTAGCTGCCTAATTCGCCAAGAACAAAGGATTTCACTGACAGTAGAGTTTGCAGTTGAAATATTCAGCAGCACATATGGTGTCTACAGACTGTGGTTTATTTCTTGTTGGCATCTGTATCCAACACCCCTGTCTTTCTCTTTGGACATATGCAGTTTGTCTCTCTGACAACAATGTGAACTCTGTACTTCCCCGTGGAAAGCTGCCTCACTTGACTGAAGTGTCTGATATATAATATAAAGCATAAACTAAACATGTAACACAATTACTTTACATACATGAAGCAATTTAGCATGTCCACAATTCAAAGAGAAATTGAACAATTATGTTTCAAATTGTTATTTTGCATTAGAGGCGGCGTGTGCTATTTTTATCTGAGGGAAAATGTATTTATATGAAAATATTCTTGAATGTGTTTGTTAGGGCTAAATGTGCTAATGTAGTCAACAGTTCAATGCTCATTGGCTGTATGAGTCAATGGAACTACAAAAGAGTGTCTTAACCCTTGTATGGTATTCAAGAACAATTATATGATAAATTATTTTTTCAAACCCACACTCAATGGCCTTGGCTCATTTTCAATGAGTTTGATTGTGTTGAATTGAAACCCAAAACGGCAGCGGGTCCACCAGACCCACGAACACTGGCTGAGTAACACAAATATGAACACCATACAAGGTTTAATGTGTAGGTGTTTGAATTAACCCACAAAGATTGATGTTGGCTGGCTTTCACCTTCAATAGTCAATACTATTATTATAGAGGGAGTTTTTAAGGAAAAAACTAATTATGTTAAGTTGCAACAGTCATCACAAGTAAACAAATAATTTCAGAAATATAGTAGATTAAGGGGAGGTAAAGAGTACCATTACATATAACTAGTTTAATATCTTATAACTGTATTCAGATGTTGCTTTCTGCCTTTGTTTATGTAAATGGTTGTATTATGTTAGCCACGTTGTTGTGTATCAAGGGTCTAATAATTAACCTGTTTTCCCTTTAGTATAAAGCATTATTGTAGAAGGCTACACATTTTCGAGCCATTATATTATGTAAACTCTTTAATAAGCAAGTACATGATAAAGAAAAATCAGTGGGCAATCAATATGATGCCACCTCATCAACAGTTCTCCGTGCGCTGTTCTCAGTAATGCTGACATAATGTTTCTGCATTTCTGCTGACTCTAGAATCTGGCTCCATACTCCATAGCAGCATGATTATATATTCTACCATTGTGACATGGTTATGGTCAAACGAAATTGACCTTAAGGGTCCACCTAATACTGCAACTGTATTTCATCAATTAATAACCCCAATCAATTCAACAAAATGATGCAATAATAGAACAGACTGTGCTTAAGGTACCATGAAAATATCACTGTGTGTAGTCCATTAATATGGAGTCGAGTGCCAGGAGACTGGCTTACACGTGACACACATGATTCACCTAATGCTGTTTGCGACTTATCAGCTAGCAAAGGGTGTGTGTGTGTGTGTGTGTGTGTGTGTGTGTGTGTGTGTGTGTGTGTGTGTGTGTGTGTGTGTGTGTGTGTGTGTGTGTGTGTGTGTGTGAGACTGTGTGAGACTGTGTTCCTCAATTATCCAGGCAGATGAAAGTAACAAACAAAACAATAGATACAGCGCCTCGCTAAATTGGCTTTAATGGGAGAGATAGACACCGGGGGAGGGATGGATGGGCGGGAATGGAGAAAAAACAGAATGAGGAGAGGGGACTATTGTCAAAGAGGGATTGAGTTCTGATTTGATTCTTGTGGACAGGTAATTTCAAAATGACATATTTTCTTTCATCCTTTGTTATTGTTTGTACACTGCTGCATTTTTGAAAGGCATAAATACTTTAAGGGATTTAAGAGCTTTTTAATGGATAAAAATGTTTCTCAGCAACATAACAATTATTTGTTCTTCTCTAACATAATACCTTAAACAAGATTGCATCTATGGCAAGAAAGACTGACTTCTTAATTTATAAACCACCTGTTTGTTACAATGTATAAGACAATGCATAACACATAACCAGTGCTTGCAAAACCTAAAAAAATAAATCTACTGAGACTTTTTTAATTTGTTATCAACAAGGTCTCTCCAACAGTGCGTACTGCTTACAGGAGATAGCCACAGCCTTGCATCCTGCTTACTCAGCTTGAAGATATTACTACGATAAACGCCAGTAATGAATGCGGAAGCTTTACAACATTGAATGGTGTAACAAACTCACTCCAGCACTTTATGACAACGTTTGGCGTTGTTTAGCAACAGGATTAATGCAGTAAGCGATTTGATGTAATGGTTCCATAAGTTAGAAGCTCAAAAGCTCCCTGTGGGGTTATCTTGTAAACAAAGAATATGTTGTGTTTCCATTCACTGTAACTTACCAGAATGCCTTGTGTGTATCCGTGAGATTAAAATAAATGTGTTGAGTGGATATTTATATCCTGCATTGTTTACTGCTATGTTTACTAGCGTTGACGTTCCCTGCTTTTGCTAGCACGTTGCAAGATATCTTGGCATGTTATCGGCACCTTTAAATCAGTAGAACAGTGTAAGGCCAACAGTAGGAATGTGTATTGCTTAACCTGCAAACACATGTGAACTAGAAACATCAAATGGGTACCCAGTCATAAAAAGGCTATGTAGTACTATTAGAGGTCAGTAACTCCACAGGGACCCTTAAATGTAGTCAACAACCTCATTTCCTGAAAGTATAATAAAGCATGAATTGCTTTTTCTCACTCAATAATAGCACATTATATTTATGGACCATGCACTCTTGTAGTCTACTTAAAAATCCATAGCTATACATATTCAGAGGTTGCATCCAGAGGCTAAGGCAACACAACATAACACATTTCCCAGCACTAAACACAACTCTAAAACATTTCTCTTGACTGCTCTTGTGCGTCCTCACACCCTATGTACTGGGGAAAGCATGCAGTCACATTCAGCAGTGAGCCGATATGCACTTCAGGTGGGACTGAGACACGTGACGGCCCTGAGTCTGGTCTGCCAAAGGGATAAACTCAGGTCTCCTGGAATGTGACACAGAAGCCACACAGTGACAGATAAAAAAAAATAACAGATAACAAATGGATGAGAGGCAAAAGTGGCAGAAGAGTGAGCAGGTGGTGTCAAAGGTTTGTGTTAGAGCCAAGACACTGATCCAAACTGCAGGGCACCAGGCTTCCAGGCAATTATGGTGCGTTTGTAAGTCACTGACCACACTGGGAAGATAATGTAAGTGCTAGCGTGTTTTTGATGTGTGTGTGTGTGTGTGTGTGTGTGTGTGTGTGTGTGTGTGTGTGTGTGTGTGTGTGTGTGTGTGTGTGTGTGTGTGTGTGTGTGTGTGTGTGTGTGTGTGTGTTGCACTGCTCTTCATGAAAGCAGCTTAACTTGCCAAAAGGGTTGCAGCAGAATGGTTGATGAAAGCACAGCACAAAGGTGAGAGATACTGAATTAATCCTCACAATATACTGCAATACATTAAACTGTGACTTCTTGTGCCACAGCAGCTTTGTGTACAGTGCACTAACCAGTCTCAGACAGCAGCTTGATGGACTCCAGCACACGCTCAGTGTAGACCCCCGGTTCGTAGTTTTCCATCTCAGCGTTAATGATGTGGACCACACGGGCAGCTCGGCCCCGGATGGCCCCAGCAGTTCGGTCAAGAGTGTCCACATCTCCCTCTTGCAGGGCAATTACGCATTTGTTGACATCCTCAAGGATGTGGTTCTCTTGAGAGAGGGACACAAGAACAAAAGTGAATAGAATTGGAGGAACCCAAGGCTCTCTCTGGTTGAGAGAAATACTGTTTTATTTCATTGAAGGTCCTTTTATCCAGAACTTAGTCTTATACAAACAAATTGTGGTTTTCGTGATGATTGTACATTGTTGAAGGTGATGATTCATTTCTCTCCCTAAATGTTGATAAACTATACACAATATAATAATTCAAAAAATTCACTTTATCTAACCTTCTTCTTGAAAAGATGCAAATACTTTTACCATCTAACTGTCCAATCAATCCAAAATGTGCCTCTCTGATCTCAATGAACTTGAAGTAGTGCCGTGACAAACTGTCAAATAATTAAAATGTCCTTGTTGTTATTCTCTAGCATACGGAACCAGAGCTAATTCTACGAAATGGGAAAACAAATGGGAGATTTTAGGCCAAATGTGTAGAACAAAATGCAAAAAGACCAAACAACACAAACCACAGCGGAAAAAAAAACATGCACTGTTTGTTGTCAGGTTGTTTTTCTTCCTGATTTGTATGATAGTTGCTCAATTGTTTTGCTCTGTGTGCTTTTCTAATTTGCTATTATCCAAATTGTGATTTTGTTTTCACATCAAGCTGCCAAAGAGAAATCCCTTCAACTTGTTACTGAACAAAACTGTAACTGTGAGTGGAAATGTAGTGGCATGTGGGTTGTTTCAATCAATTAGCCATTCATTGAAAAATCCCTTTTCTATTTTGCCTCATACCTGAAACAGAGAGGAAGTCATCCACAGAGGTGATGTCATCCACAGCCTCGGTCAGGATGCGCACCTGCTTCTCCCACTGATCCTTGAAGACGTCCATGTTGTCCTGGGCCACCTTGCTTCCGGGGCGGGCAGCCAGAGTGAGGGCAGCGTTGATAACCTGACAAAAAGGAAGGGCCAACATTATTAAACAAGGTGCACTACTACTAAGTATATTCGTCTAATTTCTAGTCAGAGTATGTCTTTACACTTGATATAAAACCTGATAACTTAAGAAGGAACAAGGCAGGGAGATATATGGTCTTGTTTTTAAACACAGACTCTTAAAAACACCTTACTTTCAGTTGTATCTCAGATAAAATGTTTTATTTTACATTTTTATTCGAAAATCACCAACTAACATCACAAAGTAGACAACTTTTGAGCATTTGTGGCTAACTTTGTAACACAATATTTCCTGATTCTCATCAAATATAGTTCAAAAATAAGTTTTCCCAGTTAATTACAAGATCTGATTTAAATAAATATCCCATCCTATTTCAGGAAATCTTACCAACAAAATGTTTGACTTGTTCTATTGGCCGATTAGTTTGACTTAATCCAAGCGAGAACACCTTGTTTTCATTATTTGTTTACTTGTTTTTGGAGGAGCATCTTTTCAAGTGTGTACAGAATTTCACTAAATAAATACAATTGTAATCTTTAAAACAGCTTGACACTGATTTTTCATATTGGATATGTTTGGGAATACTTTCAGCAGTCATTGAGTTGTTCTAAAAAGCATTTTGGACAGCAGGCGGAATATGTCAGAATTACTCACATAAACTAAACCTTAAACCTTATCTTAATGAAGAAATGATTCCATTGAAAGGGAAAACAAAGGTCTGTGTGATAAGAGAATGATCTTTATCTGATTTTGGCTTTACATATTTGATTGCTGGTTGGTCTTTTCGTGGGACTTAGAGACACAAATACGTGATATCAACAGATGTATACTGTAACACACATTGCCCTCTACATATGTTATTTTTAAAAGATAGCACAAATGTGTGTTGTCCAGAAAACCCATTGATGTAATAAAATATGTAAAATGTCTTACAGTTTCAAGAGAACAAGGTTATCTTTTCCAAAACGGATCTTGACTTCAAGAGCCTGATCTATGTAAGATATAACATTTGGCTTCGAGCCAAAACAGATCAACACATCACAGAATTTTAAGATGATGGAGAAAAAAGAAGGAAGATTGAGTTCCTATGTCTTACAGTATCATATAAGATAAACAGCTTGCCTCAAATAAACTGACTCTTAATACTGGCGCGATAATCATATCAATATAAGTAAACCACCATGTTGCTTCTGGTGTAATTTAATAACATTCAAATATCCTTCCTGTTATTTACTTGCTTTTCAGATATAACTTTAGTCAAAGTAATCTGATGTTGGAGAAGAGACACTGTGATCTGGGTATGGCAACCACTTTGGTTGTTTGTTTTTCTGTGTGTGTGTGTGTGTGTGTGTCTGTTTTTTGTGTGAAGATAAGCGACCAGGGTTAACTTTACTCAGAGCAGATGGAAATATTTTCTCTTTGTTCCACCCCCTCTTTGTTCATCTCCTTCCCCAGCCACTAAGTCTGTGTCTGTTATGGTTTTTAATCTGTCTGTGTTGAGCATTGCCAAGAGGTATCAGGAGACAGTTCCTCCCAAAGTTTACTAAGTAAGTGGGTCTCAGCAGGTGTGCATGGCGGGCCTGCACATTAGGGCCTGAATCTTATATTCTGTCTGCCTTCTCTCTTCTTCTTTTCTTTCTTCTTCTTCTCTCCCTCTCTTCTCTATAACTCTGTTGGGTCCCACGTGAATGAGGCCTACCGTTAACCTTGGAAACAATCGATTGATTTTAACATCCTCCTTTGCTGGCATCCTTAGAACAAAGTGCTACAAAGTCCACCCACAGATTACTCAAAGCTCTTCCTCACATTCTTCCAACCAGGATTCTTACTCTGTCCTTCTAGCTGTTTCAATAGAAGAGTTTTGACTATTGTTTGTGTAAAGAGTGTTGTTTTATGGAATGACATTTTTTAAATCCTCACCTGTGGACACAGGCTGTCAATTTGGGTGGCAGCCATTCGAACCAACTTCACACCCTCTTCATTGTTGGAGATGGAGCAAGCAAGGTTGGCCACCTGAATAAAGAAAGCAAAAGAAAAACAACAACAAAGGGATTATAACGAAGTGCTTTTCACCTAAAGTTTAACTCAAAATTGTTTTCCTGAAGCTCTCCCATTCGCATACTTGTAGACACCCCACTGAAGTTTGAAATGAAGTGGATGTCTCTTAAAGTTTATCTGTGCTTCAAAATGTGGTCTTTGTGCTACTATCCATTCTAAGTAGCTCGGCAAGGAAACACTGAGGACACAGAAATAGGATATTGCACTCAAAAGCCTTTGGTAGGACTTTAACTACATTTTTAATGCATTTTTACAGTGGGTTTTGCGTCCAATTACTTGCAATACAATTCCATTAAGATGAAATCTCTTCACAGACAGTATGGAGAGAGGGTACAATTATAGCAGCAAATAAGTCTGACATACACTGAACAAAAATATAAACGCAACACTTTTGTTTTTGCTCCCATTTTTCATCAGATGAACTCAAAGATCTAAAAAAAATTCTACATACACAAAATAACCATTTCTCTCAAATATTGTTCACAAATCTGAAAAAATCTGTGATAGTGAGCACTTCTCCTTTGCCGAGATAATCCATCCCACCCCACAGGTGTGGCATATCAAGATGCTGATTAGACAGCATGATTATTGCACAGGTGTGCCTTAGGCTGGCACAATGAAAGGCTACTCTGAAACGTACAGTTTTGCTTTATTGGGGGGGTCTGGGGGGGTCCGAAAACCAGTCAGTATCTGGTGTGAGGGTTAGGATTAGGGTTAGGGTTAGGGTTAGGGTTAGGGTAATGTTGTGAATCGAGTGGCCCATGGTGGTCCACCATGGGCCACTCGATTCACAACATTACCCTAACCCTAACCCTAACCCTAACCCTAATCCTAACCCTCACACCAGATACTGACTGGTTTTCGGACCNACACATAATTGTATTAGGTTAGTTGAAAGCAATTATATTCAATTCAATTCAAATTCAAAACCTTTATTTCTCCAGGTGAAAGAAATCCCATTGAGATCAATGATCTCTTTTCAAGGGAGACCTGCAGCAGTAGGTTACAAATTAAGTTTGAATAAAAAAGAATATGTTCAACTTGATACTATTGCTTTCAACAATACATTTATGTGGAACAGGAACATACCTGTTGACGTTAAAATCACAGTAGTGAGTTCAATAATTTGTAGTTTATAATTTGCGGCAGGGAGCATTATTGTGTTCCACCCACAGTGATCAAGACAATTTGAAAAAACTGCCAAGTTGTAGAACACCCATGTCTAATTTTGATTTAATGAGCCGGAATGGGCTAGGAAATAGGTCTATTCATATGAAATGGATCAGCAGACACCCTGCAAAGCCATGTACGCACAGAGTGGGCCATCATTTTCCATTTTTATCTTATCTTTCATTGATGGAGAGACATTGGCGAGCCATCTTTTGTCTATTAAAATATATCATCCATAGAGCTACTGTAATGGGCGGTGAGGAGAGCACATAGAATTCTCAGGCAGCTTATTTCAAAGTCAAAATGTATCCTTTGTGACCACTGATGGATATTTGATATATCAGAGAGATCTAAAACTCAATGCTGAAAATGACCAGCTCAAGGGTAGATAAATGAAAGCACTGGCAGACAAAATCAAACTGCAGAAATGGTCATCATTTAGCCTACTGTGTCACTACTTTATTAACCTTTACAAAACAAAAACAATTAAGAGTTCCTCAGAAGGAATTTCAACATATTTCCTTTCCAAATTGAAACATTCCTCCGTGCAAGGTCTGCCCAGATCCATGTTATTAGTTTTATAGATTTGACCGAGAGGGTTGCACTGATTCTCTGAAGGCTTAGATTGATTGGGGATATTGACTACTGTTCTAGGTCCTCACTCAACCTGTTCACCATCAGAATTGCTAATTCACCAATCCAGGGGTGTAACTCTTTTTCCTGTGCCTCATCAATTCAACAACCTCTTTATAAAAGGGTAAATTAAACCACGTCCCACAGCCATTTTAGTTCACCGACAGCAGGTTAATGGCTCATCAAGAGTCTGTTCTCTCTCCTGGAACTGATCTTCTTATTCTCCTGTCTGTTGGACCTTACAGCGCTCTATTGATGACATTGTGCTGTGAGCACACATCTATGAGTGTGCCTGCTCACAAGTTTTTTTTTACGTTTGTGTGCACTTGCATACGCATTCTTGTTTAAAATGTACAGTTACACAATGCCAGCTGGCACGCTGACGTGTGTGGTTGAAGTAAGAGAAAGACAGAGAGACCTTAGAGAGTGGAAAGCCACAAACAAAAAGGAGTCTGTTTTCTGACTTCATCATTACTGAACTGGTGGCTGTGGGAGGTCTGGGATTATCACAGGCTGGAGAAGCAATAATGAATGACATCTCCCAGAAGAAATAAACTGGCCAGAGGCAGCTGATGGACCAGGGGAATTGATTTCAGCACACAGGTGAAACAGAAACAATACAAATAGAGATCACTGCATCCTGCAAGCCACAGCCATACCATTGTTGTTGCTTAGATTACTGTACTGTGCTTTAAAAAGGTTTTCATTTGTAACATACTAACATTTAACTGTAGTGGAGGGAGCGGATACAAAACTCAAAACTGAATTCTGAACAATCTCAAATATTAAAATAGTTTGACTTGCTGCACTGCGGCCCAGCTGTCAATCGCCATTGTTCGACTTCTTCCTCTCATTCTAAAATCCAAACGCTAGCTGTTGCCAGACTTTCTCATCTCTAGGAAATATTTTGCCCTGTGTCGGCATTGATTTGATACCATGGAGGTGCATCAGAGTGTGTAGTCGTTCCCAGATTAAAACACCAATATAGGCAACTGGGTGCAGATGGCTCAAGTCTTTTTACCCATCTTTGATGTTTAAGAACTAGCTACTGTTACTGATCGGCTGTTTCATTAATAATGCCTGACAAAGCAACAAAACAGATGAATGGCTGCCATAATTATTTTGTTAACACATTTGCAAGACACTATGTGTCACTGTATGTACATTTAATTATTACTTTTTACCTCAGTACGTGTATTAAAAAGTAGAACAAATCTCCTCTGTGATGGGATAGCAGAAACATGCACCGCTCCACTCCCACCAAGCTGGTTTGCATATACGGAAGTGAAATAAATCTCAAAGGAGCTGCTCCACAGCCCCATCTCCCCTTCCCTGAGGTAGAAAGCCCTAGTTTGAGTGTTCACTTACATCATCAAAGCACCCCTCTGTCTCATGTAATATTAACATGTGCTAAATCAGTGGCAAACAGCAGCAGCAATGTTTACACAGCATTAGCACAGGCTTGCGAAGCCACGAGAGGGGCTGTCTTTGTGTTCAAAGATGAGGAGGCTCTGGCACCCATGGGGTGGTCCGACAAGATTATAGTATATGGGTTGGCTGTTTTACAAGGTGACTAATTTAGGAACACTCTGTCCTTCACAGGAACAGCTTTGCAAATTATTTGACAAATTAATTCTGATTTTAAACTATTGAAATATATTTGTTGTGTTTAATGTTTGGAGTTGTTTATTATTTTTGGTTTTCTTGGAAAATAACACACGAATGAAACTAGTCATTTCAAAAAAGGTCATATGTAGAGCTTTTGAGAAGGACAGGTAGACAACGTCTGGGTGTAAGGAGACGACAGGCAGACACATTCATCTATAAGTGGTTTGACTTTTTGACACAGGCTTAAATCTAATAATCAGCTGTCACCGTGAAGTCAAACCAGCTGGAAATTAAGTTCATTAATCACACAGTGCTTCATTTAGTCCATTTCGCCACACACCTCTGAAGTATGTCTGTGTGAGGTGGAAAGAGAGAATGGAGGCTTCAGTTGGAAATAATGAAAGAAAGAGAGAAAATGTTTGGTCGTGCAGAAGAAAAGCTATCAATTCTCATTATGGAAAATAGATCATCACTCCTAATTAGAGCTCCAGCTTTTTGCCACAGTACAAATGCAGAATAACCCAAGCTGGCAATGGCAGGCACCACCCATTGCTGATTAATTAGTTGAAAGAATAAAAAAATACAAGGAACATGCAATTTTGCCCCAGATAGCCACTTAATAACTGTGAAAGAAGCAATGACTGTAACTTGTACTTTGCTTTATTCCTCTACAAAATGAGAGAATTGAATATTTGCTTTGGAAAAAAGCCAATTATTTTTATATTGTATGGACAAATATTAATATATGAGGATTTGAAATCTCTGGTGAAATATGTGGTAAGCATGTCACGTGACTTCACGTTGTGTCCCAAAGTTCAGAGCTGAAAGAGCGAACTGTGTCCTTATCAACAAAGCAATTTGAACGTATCAACTAACACACATTAGCATTTTTTCAATAATCATGAGACAATAGAGTAGATGGGTCGACAGGGATTTGTTCCTTGTCAAATGTGGAATGACAGATTTGGAGAGGAAGGGAATGTTGGCAGTAACAGAGAGACATAGCTTGAGCTTGGAGCACTATAGATAATTGGGATCTTCCTTTTTAGATGATTAAGACAGTGTTACAAATGTCCTATTTAAAAAAGCATGCAGGGAGTGGAGGTCATTAAGGTAAAAAAGTGATATCCATGATGAATTATAGAAAGTAAATGAGGTTCATGTTGCAGCTAGTCTTCTGAAAGCTCTAAAGCAGGGGTCGGCAACCCCTGGCACCGTATCCAGTGGCACACTAGGAATAAGTGCAATAAGTGTGCAAAAATATTTACATTTTATTTTTGGATCCTGAACGAGACCAGAGCGCATCTCCTCGTAACCTGCAGAACGAAGCCATGCACGCAACGCATCCCCGCTCTCTTTAACTCCAGTCGATTTGCTGCTGCTTTCCTCCGTCGTGAAACGACCAGGGGTGTATTGCTGCCGGAGCGTGCCCGTACTTCATAAATTGCAGTAGGCTACCCATAAGGAGCAGTACAAATGCCGCAGTTTTTGCGGGGCTTTAGTTGAAAGCCCAGTGGCGATCTGCTCATCGAAAATAATATGCT